TAAGATTTGCAGCAAATGCCTATGTCTCTGGACATGGAGTCTGGACAGGGAGTCTCTTTAGCCACAGATCTACCACTTTTTCACTGAGGTAAGTCCTTAAGCCTCAGCAATGCATAGCATCTGTGCTATGGACAAGCCTGACCATTAAAGAACACTTTACTCTGTACTTTTAAAGTAGTGAAACATGGGCATGTGATTCCTCAGAATTCACAATAGCTCAGTAAGGTAGGACTTCTTTATAGTAGCCAGTTAGTGACCTTTCCCACTTCTCTGGATTTAGTATAACCTTGCTGTTCCAAGAGATTAGTCCTCAGGTGAGATTTTATAATTATTTTTATTAAGAAAATATAGGTTCATAGAAAGTTTGTTTGCAAAAGCAATGGCATAAAACCATGTCCAAAGATTACAATAGTTAAATAAAGCTGCTATTTCTCACTAAAATAAATACTAAAATCTAAGCTATACCGTACAATTGCACTCATTTCCCACGCTAGCAAGGTTATGCTCAAAATCCTCCAAGGTAGGCTTCAGCAGTATGTGGACCGAGAACTCCCAGAAGTGCAAGCTGGATTTCGAAGGGGCAGAGGAACTCGAGACCAAATTGTGAACATGTGCTGGATTATGGAGAAAGCCAGAGAGTTCCAGAAAAACATCTACTTCTGCTTCATTGACTATGCAAAAGCCTTTGACTGTGTTGACCACAACAAACTATGGCAAGTCCTTAAAGAAATGGGAGTGCCTGACCACCTTATCTATCTCCTGAGAAACCTATATGTGGGACAGGAAGCAACCGTTAGAACTGGATACGGAAACACTGATTGGTTCAAAATTGGGAAAGGAGTACGACAAGGCTGTATATTGTCCTCCTGCTTATTTAACTTATATGCAGAATACATCATGCGAAAGGCAGGACTGGAGGAATCCCAAGCCAGAATTAAGATTGCCGGAAGAAATATCAACAACCTCACATATGCAGATGATACCACTTTGATGGCAGAAAGTGAGGAGGAATTAAGGAACCTTGTAATGAGGGTGAAAGAGGAGAGCGCAAAAAATGGTCTGAAGCTCAACATCAAAAAAACTAAGATCATGGCCACTGGTCCCATTACGTCCTGGCAAATAGAAGGCGAGGATATGGAGGTAGTGACAGATTTTACTTTCTTGGGCTCCATGATCACTGCAGATGGTGACAGCAGCCCCGAAATTAAAAGACGCCTGCTTCTTGGGAGGAAAGCAATGACAAACCTTGACAGCATCTTAAAAGCGGAGACATCACCTTGCCAACAAAAGTCCGAATAGTCAAAGCTATGGTTTTTCCTGTAGTGATGTACGGAAGTGAGAGCTGGACCATAAGGAAGGCTGGCCACGGAAGAATTGATGCTTTTGAATTGTGGTGCTGGAGGAGACTTGAGAGTCCCCTGGACTGCAAGGAGAACAAACCTATCCATTCTAAAGGAAATCAACCCTGAGTGCCCCCTGGAAGGACAGACCCTGAAGCTGAGGCTCCAGTACTTTGGCCATCTCATGAGAAGAGAAGACTCCTTGGAAAAAAAACCTGATGTTAGGAAAGTGTGAGGGCAAGAAGAGAAGGGGACGACAGAGGATGAGATGGTTGGACAAGTGTCATTGAAGCGACCAACATGAATTTGGCCCAGCTCCGGGAGGCAGTGGAAGACAGGAGGGCCTGGCGTGCTCTGGTCCATGGGGTCACGAAGAGTCGGGCACGACTAAATGACTAAACAACAACAACAACAAAGCTATGGTGGGGTATTCCCACCCCCTCCTCCTCACCATGCTACATTCTGTAAACATTCCTTCACATAGCACAAGCCATTCGAAAACTCCAAGCTTGAGAAGCTGTCCAACACCTCCTATCATCCATGTTTTCTTACATTCCTAAGACCGTCTTCTTGACACTTCATAGCTGTAAACCAATTAACTTCAAAGAGGTGTAACACAACTCTCCACCCATAATTCTCATGAGATGCAGGTGCATTATCTTCTCCTAATTATGATGGTATGTGTTAAGTCTTCCCACTGGGCCTCCTTCGTCCTTGCTCCCTTATCTGAATCCTCACTGTACCAGGCTAACAGAAAAACACATTCCAGTGCCTTCAAATCATTTCACACAGAACCTGACTCCAATTTCTCTGTGACTACATATCCCACTTTCCTTCAAATCATCAGAGGCGGCGGCTTATTTTTTTTTTCTGGGGGAGGGAATGTTGCTGGGTCTTGACTTTGCTTTGGTGCTGAGCTGCTCCACCACCTTCACCTGGGAGGGGGCCAAATCCCAAACGTACCCCACTCCTCTGCTTCCCTATTGAGATAACAGACCTCTTCCTTAGCACTGCCACTTCAGCCGCCCCAATTCACCCACCCTCTGCCCTTCCCTGAGGGAAGCTATGAGCCATGAAGCCGCCTGGCAGAAGTTCTCAACGGCAGCCTGTGGCTCCCCAGCTGGGGTACCACTTGTACCTTGCCTTTTTCATGCTCCTGCTCTTTTGCCCACAGAGCTTGGGGGGCACTGCGGGCACTGATGAGTCTGCAGGATGGGGGGCCAGCAAGAGGGATCCCCCTCTCCTGCTCCTACCCTGTGCTTTTGTCCCAGCGGCCCAGTCCTTCCAAGGTCATGGACCGGTACCGGTCTGTGGCCTGGGGTCCCCTGCTATATACAGTTGGCTTAATGGAAACTTAATGACTCGCCCAACTTTTCCCAGGAAAATATCTTTCAGAAAAATGGAGAAGCCACATGCTTCCTTGTGAACAGGAGGGCAGGAAACCCAATCCTTTGGCAAGACTGGGCCAGGACTTCCCCTCTCCACCATGCATGAACACCAGAGAAACTACAAGTGCAGTACTGCACAGTGGTGCCTCGCTAGATGATTGCCTCGTGTGACGAAAAACCCGCAAGATGATTGTTTTTTGCAATCACTATGGTGCCTCGCAAGATGTTTTTATCTATGACCGTGCTTCACAAGACTTTTTTTTAGACCGATGTTTTCCAAGATAAGTTTTTTTAGACCGATGCTTCACAAGACTGGGGGTTTTTTTGAGACAGATGCATAGGGAACTTCACAAGATGATTTTTTCACAAGACACCGATTTTCACGGAACGAATTAAAATAGTCTTGCGAGACACCACTGTACTTTCTCGGTAAGGGAGGGAGAGGGAAAGGATGAGAGGATTCTGTGGCATCCCTGTGTAGGTTTTCCAGTGCTTCATGGTGCTCAGTTTGGGAAGCACTGTGACAGACCAATGCAACTTTGCCTCCTCACCCCACAGTTTTGGTATGCTGCTGCATAGAAAACCCAAATGGGCAGAAATGAGAGAGGTTGGCTACTCCAGCTTTATCTAACCCGATCTCTGTAATATAGGCCAGGTTTGTAGTGCTAATCTAAGATCAAATCCTCAATGGCTACTGTGTTCCCTTTTGGTGAGGTGAAAGGAATAATTGCCCCAAAACAAGAAAAACACTGTGCTCTGAAAGCCTAACAATATATAAAAAAAACCTGTGTTGCCTTATTAAGCACAATATCCTACAAGAATGTACTTGCATAATCATATAATCTACTTATATACATAAAGTATGAAAGTTTGTAATATCTGAATTATATAAATTGAAATATGTACAGCCAAAGGGAAGCCAGAAAAAAATCTCAAGGCTACATACATATTTATAATGTACACGACTTCTATATTGATGAATAATCCTTGCAAAGATTATAGCAATGCAAACATATTGATAACTCTATATTGGCCAAGGCAAACATGGTTTCCTTCACTGCTTCTGAAATCTAGTCAAGAATTTCAGGCTGCCAACTCAACTGGGTCTGATCATGATGCAGTGCAGGCAGGTCCATTATCCAGATATCAGATCTTTTACAGTGTGAAGAACCAGTGTTGTAACTTGCACCCACTAGTGACAGTTTTTGTTCTAGAGCAGGGGTGTCCAACCTTTCACCTTCCCTGGGCCACATTAGAAGATGAAAGTTTGGTTTAGGCCGCACGTAAATTTGGTTTGGGCCGCATGGGGGGGCAGCCGTAGCCGTCCTCTGCAGCCTTGCTCCAAGCACGCTTACGGGCAGCTGTGGTCTCAGACAGCAGAGGCGGGCAGCTTTGATTGGCAGCTTTATGGGGCCGGGAGGGGGTCCACCTATTGATGGGGATGGTGCAATGCAGTCATGCAGCCTCCCTCCCCTCCCACTCCTTCCTTCCCTCTCCCACCCCCTACCGTTGTGATGTGTTCCGGCCACAAGCACCGGCAGTGTAACTTGAAACTTTGGAATTTCTTTAAAAATAAAAAATTGCACTGGGCTGCATTACGAGCCGACCTGGGCTGCATGCGGCCCGTGGACCGCGGGTTGAACAAGCCTGTTTAGAGACATCTAAAAAGTACAAGACTAAAAAGTCCTACTAACTGAGGTGAAATGCATTCCAGACATTTGTATCAGAATTCCCTGCCCCAACCAGTTACAAGCAACATTGAGGTTTCTGCTTCTGTTTAGTTTCTCCTTTTCCTTAGAGAGGTCTTGTAATGTCTTCTGTATGAGTCTATCTAGTGGTGATCTCGGTGCATCGCCCCCACCAGAATGCATATGGTTCACACACCCTGATGTCAAGAGGTTCCTTAAAGGTCTCAACAGCAGCTTCCCTAATCCTCCTACAATTCCAACCTGAAATCTTACCATCACCAGCAAGCCACAGCTGATTTCCACAAGGGTAGCCTTCCTAGTAGACTTCACCTGAGATGTACCCGTGAGCTTTATGTATTTCACTTAGACCAACTGTACCTAGTTTCCCTTAATAATAAAAGTGTTACTCTGCCCAGATCTATGTTACATGCAAGTCTAGAAGATGTTGCAGATGTGGTTCCAGTAATGGTGACAGAAGAAGAATCCATGTCTTACCATTTCTTTGAAATCTGTGCTGATTATTGTGTCTCCTATATTCTTAGTGTGGTTTGTGCTTTAAGAAATATTTGTTATTATATTTAAAGGGCCTTCACATACTCAAGATATCACTGAAGAATGGTTTGATGCTACAGAGAATCCAGCAGTGACTGACTCTTCACTATCACGTATAGGTCAGTTATAATTTTTTAGTTCAACAGGCAAGGTTTGACTTGTTACAGATGTGAAATTAATGTAGATACTGCATTTTTTTTGTTACCTTCATTTGATGGGTATACAAAATCTCTTCCTTATGGTCTTTGTTCAGCCTCACAATAGATACAGTGGTGCCTCGCGCAACGGTCGCTCCGTAGAGCGACGAATCCGCGCAACGATGCCGTTTTTGCGATCGCAAATGCGATCGCAAAACGGCACCTAGATAGGGGGAAAATCACAGAGCGAAGGTCGGTAAGCGGTTCACTTACCGACCTTCGCTTTGCGACCCGCCCATCAGCTGTTAGGCAGGGCCAAAATGATGGGCGCGCGCAGCGTTTTCGCGCCCTTGTTCAGCGAGGGGAGAGTACGAAAATGGCTGCCGGCCATCCAGGAACATCGCACAACGGTGAGTATTTGGCCGAATTGGAACGCATTAAACGCTGTTTAATGCGTTCCAGTGGCTTTTTACTTTCCGTTGAGCGATGTTTCACACAGCGAGGGTTAATCCGGAACGGATTAACCTCGCTGTGCGAGGCACCACTGTATATCATTTCATAACCAACGCCTAGTTTCACATCAATATACGCCACAATCACAGAAAGTTTCACAGATTCTCTCTCCAAAACACTGTCTATTCAAGTCCCTTCCTTTTGGTCTTTTTACTGTTCCCTGGGTCTTCACAAAATGCATGGGCCGAGTAGCAGCCTATTTCCGCACTCACGGAATTTCCATCTTCCCATACATTGACGACTGGCTACTGATGGCCCCCTCCCATCTTCAACCACTACGCAATGTGAATATCACCCTCTTCCTCCTCGACAGCCTGGGATTATAGGTCAACACAACCAAATCTACTCTTGCACCTTCACAGCGGGTGAATATATTGGCGCAGTTCTAGATTTCTAAAGGCCAGAGCCATTTTCCCCAAGACCGTGCTGAAAAGATCCATGCTGCCCTTCAAGCCACATGCCTTAGTCACCGCACTTCAGACCCAGCGCCTCCTTGGGCTCATAGCATCCACAACTTTGGTAATCCAATTTTGGTAATCCGCCTGAAAATGTGCTCTCTTTAGGCTTGGTATTTATCCCTCTTCGATCCCATATCGGGCCCACTCTCCATGTTATTGAGGGTTATCCCAGAACTTGCAGCACAGCTTCAGTGGTGGAACACCCCAGCCAGTCTTTTCATCGGCAGACCCTTTGCACCTCTCCAACTTACCATACAGATAACAACCGATGCAAGCCCAACTGGATGGGGTGCTCACTGCAAGGGACTATGCTTTCACACTGTATGGTCTCCCTCTGAGAAACTGCTTCACAGAAACAACTTAGAACTTCTAGCCATATTCAAGGCTCTCCACGCAGTCAAACCATTAGTCACCAGCACCACTGTTCAGATTACGACAGACAACACCACAGCTCTCTTTTATCTCAACAAACAGGGCGGGACACACTCCCTTCTCTTGCTTTACCTTACCGTCCAGCTGTGGGAGTGGTGTCTCGAGCGCCACATATTCCCAATAGCAGTTCATATCTCTACTCACCACAATTGTATAGCAGACTCTCTCAGCAGACTCGGTTCGCAGATGCACGAATGGTCCCTCGACGACTCCATCTTTCATCATCTAGCCACTCTGTGGGGACAACCACACATGGACATTTTCGCATCAACAGAAAACACAAAATGTCCCCTCTATTGCTCCAGGGCAGGGATAGGTCCCGGCTCCATCAGAGACGCTCTGATGACACCATGGACATCAGGTCTAGTTTACCTCTTCCCTCCAATCCCTCTACTCCTGAGGACTATCGTAAAGCTGTGCCAGGAGTAGTCCAATGCAATCTTCATTGCCCCGTGGTAGCTGAGATAACCATGCTCAGCTCCATCTCCATAGACTTGATCCATCTTCCCCCAATACCTCACCTCATACAGAATTGGGGTCAAACCTTCCACTCAGATCTTCTTGCACTCCACCTAACAGGATGGAGAATTCACCCTCGATAGCTGCCATCTTAGCTTGGGCTAGGAAACCTGCTACTACGTGGCTGTACTCATATAAATGGGCTGCTTTTCTTGAATTTGTAGCTCAGCATCATCTCCCAGCTGCGTCTACAACTTTTCTCACCGTGCTACAATTCCTTACTCACCTCTGTAGCAAGCATTGTCCTTGTCTACTATCAAGGTCTATCTATTTGCTATAGTAGCTCAGCAGCTGCCTAATTCCGAAGCCTCTTCACTCTTTCATCACCTTACGATAAAACAGTTTCTTAAGGGGGTCTCCAAACTATGACCCAGCAGACCACACTTCCCTCCGCAGTTCTACAGAGCCTAATGACGCACCTTTTGAAACTCTCACCACAATGTCCGATCGCCTTCTTGCCTACAAGACCCTCTTCCTTGTGGCCATTATTTCTGCTCGTAGAGCTTCAGAACTTGCTGCGCTCAGCGTTGATCCACCTTTTCTTCAATTTTACCCAGACAAGGTCACTCTTTATCCCACTGTTTCTTTTCTTCCAAAGGTTGTTTCTGAGTTCCACCTTGAGCAACCCATCATTTTACCCACCTGTTACTGACTTGGAGCATTCTCTCCACCTCTTAGACATTAGGCGAGCATTGGCCTTCTATGTTTCAAGGACCACCTCCTTCCTGAACTCCAAGATACTTTTTGTTTCTCCGCACTTACCACACAGAGGATGCTTTATCTCCTCTCAAACCATCTCTAAGTGGTTTGTGTCACCCATTCACTTGGCATATCAACTGGCTAAGAAGCCTCTTCCAGTTGCAGTTAAGGCTCATTCTATGAGGGCAGTGGCTACTTCTGCAGCATTCCTCAGAGGCGTTCCTGTCCCTGATCCCTGCAGGACTGCTACGTGGTCCACGCTGTCCACCTTTGCCTTTCATTACCGCTTGGACCTCCAGGTTAAGTTGGATGATGCATTTGGACGAGCCACCCTGTCATCTGTTCTTCTGTGACGTCCCTTCTCCAGTCAGATAAGCTTGTCAGTCACCCATTAGTGTGCATTCTCAGAGACTGCGAAGAAGAAAGAGAGGTTACTTACCTGTAACTCTGGTTCTTCAAGTGGTCATCTGTGAATTCACACTTCCCGCCCATCTTTCCCTCTGTCCGTCACGTCTGTTTCATTTTATTCAGCGGCGGGCAGTTTAGGAACTGAGGCACTAGCCAGGACGGGCGGACCACGTGCACTAGGAGGACGGTCCTGGCGAACGAGTGTTCAGCTCTAGAAGATTCTGGAAACCTCTACGCAGGGGCAGAATAACCCATTAGTGTGAATTCACAGATGACCACTCGAAGAACCAGAGTTACAGGCAACTAACCTCTCTTTCTTCATGAAGTTTGATTGCTTGTTGTCCACATTCATTTCATGTTCCTTGACTGTACAGTGGTACGCCGACTTACAAACGTCCCTAGTTGCGAACGATTCGAGTTATGAATGGCTCCGTTCGCAAAAAGTTGCTTCGACCTGCGAACAGAGCCTCGACTTGTGAACCAAAAAAAGGAGAAAAACCCCTTTCCTGCCCTTTTTTTTAAACCTAAGTTCACCTTAGGTCAAAAGAAGAAAAAAATAAAAAAATTCATCCCCAGTGGTAGATACAGATTAACCGGTGTTGCATTAGAACTGATGCTTCGACTTAAGAACAGTGTCTCGACTTAAGAACAAAAAACAACAGGTATGGATTAAGTGGTTTTCAATGCATTCCTATGGAAAAGTTTGCCTCAATGTATGAATGCTGTTCCAATACGGATCAAGTTCATAAGTTCATACCACTGTAGTTTCCAGCAAAACCTCAGCAGATTCCTTTCCTACTCTTAGCATTAAAAGTCCCTATTTTGAAACTTGGACTTTCTATATGCCTCATAACAGTTTTGAGTTATTCTAGTCTTTTGATACTCAGTACTTGCCCGAATGCATCTGCTTTTGATTATGTCCAAGTATGTTAATATTGTTGGAAACTATTATAAAGTATGCGAAAGTGGAAGCCTCCTAAACTATGCACATGTGTACATACTGTTCTTTCATATCTTCTCAAAAGGCATATACTGGCTTTTAAAAAGACATATAAAAGGCATATAACATTGGCTTTTTAGCAGTAAAGTGTTAGGTCAAGTAAATTGCGAAATTATGTGCTCTTCAGGCCCTGCCTCCATTAGAACAAACATTTCAAAATCTTCACTTCAGAAAGCCTAGTCTAACTTGTGAAATTCTAAATGTTTCACTTTTTCTTTTAGAACTAGATGTTTTTGATATTCCATTGACACTGAAGTATTCATAGGACTTTTGAAATATTTTTGTATATTTTTATTTGAGTTTAAAATAGATTAAGTGCATATTTTGTAGTCATACACAGATACATGTAATATGTTAACTAGCAGTCCATGATTACTGCTTCCTAAAACAACAGGTTTATATACATTGGGGTCTCGACTTACGAACGACCCTACTTGCGAACAATTCAAGTTACGAACCCGCCCTATAGGGGAAAGAAGGACTCGACATACGAACTTCCCTCAAGTTACGAACAGGGAAAAAAGTGCCCCCTCCCTCCCCTTAGAGGGTTCTGGAGGGAAAAAAGAGTCAGAAACTTAAAAATAAATAAAAGAAAGTCACTTACCAGGCCTTGGTAGCCCCCAAACAACAGGAAAAAGAGCAGGAAACAGCTAAAAGCCCACACCAGAAGGGAGCCTGGCAGGCATTTTGTGCTTCCCCCTCCCCCCCGCTCCTGCACCCTCCTCTCCCCGCCTATCAGCTGATCGGCTGGCTCTGAAGACGCTTGGGGAGGCTTGCTCAGCACCTAAAAAGCCTGCCTGTGTGTCTTTGTGCTGAAAGAATCAGCACAACATGCTGTAAAACATGATTAAAAATTGGCTTCGTTGAAAAAAAAGATTTCTAAAATGCTTTGCAAACTGTTCCCTGCCTTCCTCCTCATTTCCTGAACCTAAGGGAAAAAAATAAAAATATATCCCCCTCTAGTGGCAGAAGGCAGAATAGCAGCTTCCCATTAGTTTCTATGGACGGAAAAGAGCAGATACAGATTAAATGGCTTTCAATGCATTCCTGTGGGAAATGCAGATTCGACCTACGAACTTTTCGACCTACAAACTACCTTCCAATACGGATTAAGTTCGTAAGTTGAGACCCCACTGTAGTTGACTAGGTGACTAAGGATTTTTGTGACTCATCCTTTGACCCAGCTGTGCCTATGTATAAAAATTTCAGAAATTAGTCTGATATTTTTATATGTGTTAACTGTTACCAGAGTCTGACCTAACTTATGTTGTTACAGACCTTTCTGCAGGAACTTTGACTTGGAACTGTAAAAAGAGGGCTAGAGCAGACTTGCGCAGTTCAAATCACAATAATAACTTTGTTTTTGTGAGATAATTGCTAGTACCTTATCAGAAGAAAAATGAGTTCCATAAGAAATGGCTTCAGAAGTTATTTTGTATTTTCTATCTTGTCTAAATAATTTTGTTGCCCTTCTTTTAATAAATATATTTTTTTCATCTTTTAGAAACACAAAATACAGAGGACAGTAAAAAAACCTCGAAGAATATATTTTGTATTCATGTTGACAATTTAAATCCCTTGGTATCAGAGGTAAATCACCATCTATTTAAATAGAATGCTAGTTTCGGTTAATGCTAATTGAGTAAATTTTAGTCAAAATCTTCTTGCTTATTTCAGGTTGACCTATGGCTTTGTTTCCAGAAGTATAATGTTTCTAAAATTTCCATTTGTGATTATCCTGACAATAACAGGTATGTGTATATGATAGTGTGAAGGTTTGTTTAAAGTGTATTATGTGGTTTCATAATACAGTGGTGCCTCGCACAACGGGTGCCTCACACAACGATGAATTCACACAACGATGCCTTTTTCTGTTAAATTTGCCGCCTCACACAGCGATGTTTCCTATGGGGGATTTTCACACAACGATGTCTCTTTTTCGTTCCTGTAAAAGTGTCTTACAATGTTTGGAAGCCGTTTTAAATGGTTGCAATGGTTAGCCCACCTCCTGAAACCTATGCAAACTGATTTTGGTGTTGTTCTGACACTTCGTTAATTTATGGTAATTTTTTGTTTTCCCCCCTCATTGAACTCCATGCATTTCAATAAGGGGGAAAAACAAAAAATTACATAAAAATAACGAAGTGTTAGAACAACACCAAAATCAGTTTGCATAGGTTTCAGGAGGTGGGCTAACCATTGCAACCATTTAAAACGGCTTCCAAACATTGTAAGACACTTTTACAGGAGCGAAAAAGGACTTCGCAAAGCCATCGAAATGTATTGAGTCGGCTTCAATACATTCCAATGGAGGAAACATTGTTTCACACAGCGATGTTTCCTATGGGGATTTTCACTCAGCGATGGCAATCCGTTCCAATTGGAACGGATTAACCAGTTTTCAATGCATTCCTATGGGAAATGGTGTTTCACAGAACGATGTTTCACACAACGTTGATTTTTTTGGAACCAATTAACATCGTTGTGTGAGGCAACACTATGTGCATTCTGAGAAGTATTTCTAGTATGACAAGTCCATTTCGTCTGCTACCTGAAAGAGAAATATTTAAGTTCAAAAATATAACCTTCATTTCAGTTTAAATGTTTTGCTATAGCTACCTCCACTGCCTTTTTAAGAGGAGTCTCCAAATTTAATTGGTCTAAACTGCCACCTCATCCCAATTGTCCACCTTTATCTGGTGTCAGCATCTGAATACCAGCTTGTTCTTTAGAAAAGCTGTACTCTCTGCTCAGTGTCAGAGAGTGCAAATGTTACTTGCCTCCCTCTGCTTTTTCATTTTTGAAGGTATGTTTTGTGGACTTCTCCCATCAGTGTGAATGCGCAGAGACCTCGATAAAATAAAACAGGTTGCTTCTTCTAAAGTTTGTTCTTAAAGTGGTCCTATGCCCATTTACACAACCTGCCTTTTTCCTCTCTTCATCATCTGCTGCCACCTGCATTATTACCTCTTTTTCACCCAAACGTACAGTGTTGTTTGTGCTGCAGATCAGAGGCTGAGCTACCACCATAACTCTCTCGATCTAGAAGGTTCTGGAGGGGTGGGTCTGTGCAGACTCAGATGCATTAGTATGAATATACAGATGACCACTTGAAGAACAAATGTAACAAGATACAACCCGTATATTCTAGGTTACAATCTGTTATCAAGGTGTTTGGTCATGTTTTTCCTATCCTCTCATTTCGGCTAACTTTTAGGACTGCTGTAAAGTAGACAGCAACAGATACATCCATTGTCTGACCCTTTTAGGCTTGTATACATTTCTGTTTCTCAGCCTAATCATATTGTGAACCTAGTCTTGTTCTTTGATGGGGTTGTGCATGCAGGCTGCTCCTGCATAGAACACAAGTTCTGCATATAGATAGTGTTGGATAAGGGAAGGAACATAACTAGATCAGTATGTCGCAGAAGTAGGCAACTTTGGCAGCTCTTGGGGTCCATTTGCTGCTTCCTGGATCCCCCAAGAGCCACATAGACCGCCAAAAAACTTTCCACTTGTTTCCACTTTGAAAAAATTGTATTTTTATTTTCTTGCAGAGCGCAGGAAGTTTTGTGACCTATTTAAAGAGTAAATCACAACTCCTGAGGTCTTTCAAAAGAAGCAACATGCTAGTTGTTTTGTTTTTTTTTGCTGGGGGAAAAGTCTTTTGAGGAGTCTGAGGGCAATGAATAAGCTTAATGGTTTCGTGTAAAAGGACTCATACTGGGCATGTAGTACACCTCCTTGAATAAATAAGTAATGATATTTCTCTGTGTTGTGTTATATTTCAGATGTTTTTACTGAAGTAGGTACATTTTTGACATTTCAGATATGCCTCGCTTAGTTTTAAAACAGCCTCTGATGCAAAACTAGCAGTGAAAGAAATGAATGAGAAAGAAATAAGAGGGAAAGCCATCAAGGTCCGACATGTTAAAATCATCCAAGAAAACAGAGCCTCAAATTGTCAGAAACAGGAATTTGAAAAGCAAGGACTACATTCCAGCTCTAAAAAGGATACAGAGTGTGGAAAGAATGGCAGTGTAGTTTTGAAAGTGTTGCATTCTGCCTCTGGTGATCCCAAAGTGTCTGCTGGTGGTACTCTCTTAACTTCAAAGAGACCCGATGTCTCCAAAAGTTCCTTTAAGTCATCTTTGCCTCCTTCAACAAGTGTTCCTAGGCCTATTTCAGCCTCTTCAAAATCAACCCATTGTACTTCAGCGCCTTCCAAAGTGCCCACCCCTGACAATCAGTCTTCTAAACCTGTGTTAGGAAATACATGCTTTGAAATAGATCAAGAGGTAATTTTTTCCTTTTTTAATATACAACTTCATGTCAAAATACCTTTTTAAAGCTTTGTGCATATGTTCATTTCCTGTCACCTTCACGGTTGCATAATGTTGTTAGTATGTAACTGATAATTAAGTAGTTGGAACCACAACATGAGGCTTTTGTATTGCCTTCTGGAGCATTGGGTAACTCCACTGGACATAGCCAATAAATACAGAATCTTGGCATTGACATTAGCTTACATGGAGGGATATCTTGGATACTTTATGGTCGTTCTGTGTTGCAGCACACATGCAGTGCCTTGTACCTGTGCAGGAGCATCCAGAAAGACCAAAAGCTGAGTAGAATACTTTGATGAAAATCCCACCTCAGGTCTTGTGTGCATGTCTGTACTCATCCAGCCTTTTCCCAAGTTCATTTTCATCCACTGAAGTAGAAGCATACCTTCAAGAATTTGTTATGCAAGTGATACAATTGCTTTTTCATCTTTGTTCCCATCTTCAGTCATTCAGGTTCCTGACCCTGTTTCCGCCACCTTTAACTTTTGCATCTCACCTATCATCAACAATTTTAAGTATTTCTTCGGTCATCTGTCTAGGCTTTCCTCTTCTTTTGAGAACAGGAATTGTCTTTTTGCATTCTTTTCCGATCATATCTCTTACTCAGTCTACAGATCTCCTGGGCACAGTTCCGTTTAGTAGTGCAAATCTGTGCTTTATATGGGCTTTATGTTCCCCAGAAATGTTATTTAGATTATATTTGGGCACTATGATTCTTCTGGCATTCTTTTCCAGCATTACTCTAATGATATTAAGAATTAATTAACAGTATCACAGTCTGATTCTTGTCTTGTTTTAGCAGAGAGAATACAGCTCTTCCATATATACAGTACGGCCTCCAGTCATGTGGTCTGTTTGATTTCTATATTGACTCTCTCGTGATGTCCATGTATATACTCATACAGTTGTCTGAGGCTTGTATTTGCAATAAATACGTTGTTGGCTCCACAGCATTCTGTGAGTTATTATCTTGCTTCATTTTTTACTCCTAGGCCAAATTCTCCAACCTTTGTTCTGCTTGTTTCCTATTTTTGTGTTCCACTCACCTTTGATTATCAATCTGTACTTTCTAGACCAGGGGTGTCAAACCACCTAGACAGGGGTGTCAGTGTCACAACAGCTATAAAGGCCCCTTGCATTTTATGTAGTTAGAAACTAGCAGTTCTGGGATTCTAGCTAACTCTCCATCTGCTCTCAGGCACAAGGAAGTGCCATCCCATCTTCTCACATCTAAGGGGACAGTGTCTGCAATCATCTTAGCTCAGCCACAAGGAATTTCACAAGATTCCTTGAGAGAGCTATATCTTCTACAGCTGTCCTCTCTGATGTTCTACTGCCTAAGACTTGCAGACTTGCTAACTGATTTCAAGCTTTTACCTTTGTAAGGTATTACAAGGTGAATGTTCTGGTATGCAACCAAGAAATTTTGGGCTTTCTGTCCTCTATTCTTCAGAATGCTAATACTTTATCCTCAAACCAGTAAGCCTAAGCTTTTTAATCACCCATACCTGTGATGTATACAGACCATAAAGCTTCAATTACAATTGTGTTTTAAATGTGCTCATCCGTGCTTTCACCCAGCTCACACCATCTCCCTTCCAGAAGTGACCTGGTTCCTTCTAGTTTTGAGCAGAGGGAAAGGGAAGTGAGTATAGACATGCACATATAGAGTGGGGTGGGAGTCTTCCAAGCTCTCTGTTCCACTCTAGATACTCCAGACATTCTTACAAGCTCTAAACTACCTGTATTTGTGAAAGCATAGATTAAACTGCAGTTATAGGTAAATAGCCTATTTGTTTCAAAGAATGAAGATTGAAGAAGTTATTACAATTAGCGTTAGTATCCATATAGAAATTATTATGTTTAGACCTGTTGTGGAAAGTTCTCCAGAAGGGAGAGAAAAATGTTTATAGCATATTGATCACTTAGCATCCTCTGATTACTTAACCATCATTAAGTAGTTGAGATTCTTACAGGTACAGCACTCTAATTTGAGAGCCCTCTTTCAGGAGTTCTGTCTTCGGCATGATGTTTTGTGTTAGAGGCACCCACTTCTGTAAATATCTGCACATGTAGTGACTATATCTAGAGAATTGTAACTTTAAGTTTTATCATACTTGTTTCAATTTTTGCTTTCTACAGGGGTGATAGTTGGATGTCTATATTCTAGAATTCTGGTGCACTTAGAAATGTTTTGCTGGTGTTGGTTTTTTGTTGTTGTTTAAATATATTGTCTGTCTAGGATATTGGAGAAGGCCTCTTGCTATTGGGCTCAGTACAGAGTACTCCAAATCCATCCAGTACCTTTGTACCTCCAAACACATTAAATTTGAGAAGCTTCAGCAAAATAGTGAAAAAACTAGAGGAGCTACATCCAGAGTTCAATAGGTTAGTATGAAAATTGGAGGTTGAATTTTGTAAGCATGTATTTATTTATTGATGTTCTCTAATTTTTTCTCTCTCTTTCTTAGAGACAGCATTTTGAATGCTTTGGTGGAGATAAAAGAAAATGAAGGTTTACTTAGTGGTTTACCCCTTAGTGCTATTGTACAAATGACATCATCACTTCTGAATAAAAAGTTTAAGTCTAAATGTAATGAGAAGCAAGGAAACAATCTGAAGAACAAATAGGTGGGTATTTAAAAGAACTTGAATTTGTAATGTGTACAGTTTAAATCTATTAAATACCTTACTCTAAATAGAAATTCTTGGCTATTTTCTAGATTTCAAAGACATTTTGGATTTGCATCTGTGTTATAAACACATTTGAAAGCAAGTTGTATTAAATGTAAATACATTTGCTCTAGGAAGGCATAAACATTTAATCTTGAAACACAACTGGCTTATTTATAAGCATGCCTGGCACTTGCCCGTTTCTTCTTTCAGAAGTGCCCATGTGGCCTGAATTTGGACTGGACAAAAAGGATCTAGGTGCCTTAGGGCAGGTGTCCCTGGTCCACGGCCTGGGCCTTGGCAGGACCAGGTTGCGGAGACAGATCTCCTGCCCCCAGGCATGTACTCCCCCCATGCATGCCCACATGCATGCATGTCCCACCCACTCACACGGGTGCCTCGCCCACACATGCAAGCACACTCCCACCCATCCGTACATGAGCATATGTGCCGCAAGCACGAGCCCCCCCCCAGTCGGTCCACCATTTGGAAAAGGTTGGGAACTACTGCCTTAGAGGGACCTCCCTTTTGAGGGCGACCGTCTTTTCCGTGCTAAGACCAATGCCATTATGGATTATCTCCAGAAGAAACATACTGCCACAAAGAGACTAGGAGTCTATCCATTGCAGCAACAGTTCTCTTTCAGGCTCACTTGGAGGAGATAATCTTTCACATCCTCCCCTAGGCTGACATATGACAGAAGCCCCTTCCATCTGCTTCCTCTGCCTCCTCCTTCTCCCATAGGGGAAAGCAACAGAAGTGTAGCTCTAACCACGCTCCAGATGTCAGGAGAGGAGAGTAAAACAGAATCTTTGACTTACTGAGCTTTTCACCAAGATGTGAATCACCCCTCTCCCCATCTGGACTCTGCATCTCTCTTGGCCCCTTTCCTCCCATCATGGCTCAGAATCACTTTGGACAAATGGGTTATCTCCATCATCCTTCATGGCTATGCTATAGAGTTCCTTTCTCTTTCTCCAGTGGCAAGGTTTCTCTTTACAGCACCCCCACCCATCTCCAGTTCTGGAACAGAAGGTCCTGTCCCTTCTTCAGAAGGATGCAGTCCATTTGGTGTCTCACCATCTCATCCAGGAAGGTCACTATTATCAGTACCTCAAACCAATCCTTGACCTACAATTTCATCCATACCAAGGAATTCCATATGACAACCCTAGAATCTACCATCCCATTGCACCACCGTGGGGATTGGTTTGTAGTGATAGATTTCAAGGATGCTTGAAATGTTCAAGGCTCTTCCCTCCAGCCTGTGCATAGTCTCCTGACATGGGACTATGTCAAATTGGCATTATTTCTTGAGGATCTTAGACTTTGGGTGAACTTTGACAAATCCACCCTAATGCTATCTCAAGTCATAACACATTGGTGCAGCCTTGAATTCTATTACTGCTAGGGCATATACTCCTCCTTCCTGCCTTCTCAATATCCTCTCTTTGGTTTGCATCTTCATTTCTGAGAGTATCAGTTTACAACACTCAGTATTTGCTAGATTTCATGGCCTCAACCACCTCAGTCATTCCGCGCACAAAGCTCAAAATGTGGCCCCTGCAGTCATGTTAACTTTCACTCTTTGACCCCTTCCAGGGCCAGCCGGCCCAGCTTCTCCTGACAACCCCAGAGTTCAGTTCCCAGCTACAATGGCGGACCAATGCTCTAAACATGTTTCTGGCTAGGCCTTTCCATACTTTGACCCCATCCATCCAAGTTGTCTTGGATGTGAGCCTCCTTGGCCAGGGTGCCCTGAGCCTTGACTGTCAGAGTCACGGCACCCAGACCTATTGGGAGTTCCTGCTTTGCATAAACAAGCTGAAGGTGCTTGCAGTTTTCAAAGCCTTCAGGGCCTTGCCTCTTCTGTTGGGCAAAGTTGTACGGTTAGTCACCGACAACACAACTACCATGTACGACATAAACAGGGAGGCACTCACCCTATGTATCTCCTTCTCAGCTGTAGACTTTTGGCAATGGTGCACCAAGCATCACATCTTTCCAGTTGCCATTCATCTTGCCAGTTGCCAGATCAAAACAACAAAGCTGCAAACAGCCTCAGCAGGAGATGTTCTCAGTCTCACAAATGGGAGTTGAATCACCAAGTGCTTCTTGTCTCCTTGCGACATGTGAGTGGAGAGTGATCCTCAGTCTCTGGGGGATGCTTTCATGTTCCATTGAGGTTGTCACTGCTTCCTCTACTGCCTCTAATCCATCATGTGGCTACAAAGATCAGGCAGGAGAATACAAATGCAATCCTGCTGACTCTATGGTGGCCCAGGCAAGCCTTCAGATGTCTTCAGAGCACATCAGACTCCTGAGGCATTCAGATCTATTATCTCAGAGCAATGAGAGAGTATTTCACCCAGACTTCGATTGCCTCATCCTCATTGCATGAAGAATAAATCTGAGACTGAGGGGTTGATAGCTACAGCCAGAAAACCTTCAACCATTCGTACGTACAACCACAAATGGTGCTGCTTCCAGGGGTAGCTTGGCTTCTGACCCTTCTTTGCACTTTGCTAAGTTTCCTGCTCCAATTAGAGCAACAAGGTTTATCCTCTTCCTCTATGCTGCTATTTTCTCATGTGAGCTCAAAATATCTCTGGCTTTCCAATTCTTCCAACATCCTTGCCCAAAGTTATTTTTGAAAGATCTCAAACATAATACATTCATTGACCATCACTTACCTCCTCCTCAGTGGTCCCTTCAGTTGGTTCTAACCTTTTATGAGGTCCCAATTTGAGCTTATGGAGACGTGTGACTTCCAGTTACTCACCTTCAAGATAGCTTTCCTCCTTTCTGCCACATCTACTCATTGAGTCCAGTAAGCTGTGTGCTCTATGCCACGATTCTCCATACCTGCAATTTTTCAAAGACAAGGTCATAGTGTACCACTTATCAGTGCCACTTATCTCAGTCTATAGCCCTCTCAGTCTTTTTTCCCGAATCCATCCTCCCCTCTGAAAAGAGACCTCCACACATTGGATGTTTGTAGAGCTCTAGCTTTTTATACATCTTGGACTGCATCATTCCATTCCACTTCAAGATTGTTCATCTGTTATGATACCCCAGGTAAGGCGTCATCGATCTCAAGCCAACATTTTTCTTGCTAGGTCGTTTCTGTTATCTTACCAGTTGGCCAAGCACCCATTGCCACAACTTGTCTAGGCTCACCCCACAAGAGCTGTATCAGTACGGACTGCCTTCCTGAAAGATGTTCCTCTTTTGGAGGTTTGTAGAGCTGCAGCATGGTCCCAGCCTTCAACTTTTCTGCATCACTATAGGATGGATGTTAGTGACAAAGCTTCCAGGGCTTTTTGTCACAGCCATACTCTCGGCATCTGTAGCATGACATCTCACCTCCAGTAAATCAGCTTGCTACTCAACCATATGGGTGATTCACAGAGGCCACAAGGAAGAACAGGTTATTTGTCTGTAAATGTGGTTCTTCGAGTGGTTCTCTGAGAAGTCACACAACCACCCTTCTCCCCGCTTTCACCTCCTTGGCTCGTGTCAGGTATTCATCTGGATGTTTCCTTCTTCCCTAAAGTTGATTCATTATTTCACTTAAACCAGATCATTATTCTCCCAGCTTTTTCTTGTAACCCTACTGCACCCTTGGACTGGTTACACCCACACAGTGTCACAACAGCTATAAGGCTGCTACCTGGTCTCAGCCCTCAAGCACTGCAGACTGGATGCTGGAGTTCAAGGCCAAATTTGGGGGAGCTGTGCTGTCCATTGTACTACAAGGATTGACACTCCCACCTCGAGTAAGTCAGTTTTCAATAGAGACCACAAAGAAGAGTCAAACTATCCACCCTCCTTCCCTAATCCATATCTCCTTTTTTTTCAGTGGAGAGGAACTGGCGGATTTGTGCTGGGGACAGTTATACAGTGTTGCTTAGCTTAAGAGGATTCTGAGCAGCCTCTGCACAAGTGTAGTCCTAGTCCATCACTCTGTCTACTATAGCACATTGTATATCTATCCATTACATCATGCTGGGAGTTATAATCGAAAAAGAAAACAATTTTCACAAGGCTGTTTAGCTACCTGCCTGCCCACAAGTTTCCTCTTCCCACCTCACTGAACTCATCTATTTGGAAGGTATATAGTGTCTTCCATCCAAACATTATTTCTATATAATCTGTTAGGAAATAAACATTGAATTCTTATCTGCTTGTATGAAAATAGATACAAAAATATAGAGATGAGGGGTTTTTTAACAAGGATGTTTAAGCTCTTCAGCTCAGTTTTTCGAGTGACCAAATATTTTCAAAAAATCAAGTTTTCAGTTCAGTACAGTGTGCAGATTCAGCAACTTATTGTGGGTTTTATTTCAGGTCTTTATACTCGGTGGTAATGTGAGTGTATTCATCACTGGCAAGTGCAACTGAAAGGAGAAGTCATTGTTACTGACCGAAAATGAAAACATACTGTCTGTTAGAGAGCTGGTTTTCAAGAAGGAGCATGTGAATAAAAGGAGGAACAAATTTTCTTTAAGAAAAGTCTTGTTGGGGAAATATTCTGTTTTGCACAGATAGGTCTTGTTTTCTTTTTTTTAAAACTGACACAAATTTGCAAGGATCTGAAATGTAGCCTTCAGTTTTGCAAAGAATGAAAGCCTTGCCATAAGCAACGGCAGTGCATATATTTTCGTGTGTTTTTTTTTTTTTTTGTTATAGTGTGCCATGTTTGTAAGCTACTACAATGTGAAACATTAATTATCTAATGGTTAAAACTTGTAGTTGAAGTTTAAATAAAGATTAATTGGTTTTAGTATGGCTTAAGAAGTTTATCATTTGACGAGATAGTCTTATTGATTTGAAATAGGGAAAACCGTTGGTGCCCCTGATTTAAAAAAAAAAAAAAAGACAAAATCAAAGAATATTTGACTGTTACATGATTCTTGTTCTAGATTTATACACAGGGCAAAGCACATAGCCCAGTAAAAGCTAAGCATTTTAAGCACTTTGAATTTTATAGAAGAAATTTAAGTATGCAAGCAAATAAATGGTGCTTCATTTTAGCTCAATCACATCTTAGTCTGTATGACACTTAGGCAAAAAAAAAAGATAAAAACAAAACCCAATCAAAATATTTTGCTACAATTGACCAGAAAGATTGCTGATCCTCAAACACAACCTAATAACCTTCACCCTTTATGTTGCAGTTTATTGCCCAAAATAAAAGTGTTATGTGCTCACGAATACCTTACTCCAGCTTTACAGAGAAGTCTTTTGAATCAAAGAAATCTTTGTAGTCCCAGCCACCTTAGCAGTTTCATCGGTTAGACATTTCTCCAGTGGTTAGAGATGTCACTGGTATACAGTAGGACCACAGTATCTGTGGGGGATCAGTTCCACCCCTACCCCCTACAGTTGCTGAAAAGCACAGGTATAGAAATGCTATATACTGGTTTCGTAGTCTCTGGTTTCATACAATGGCCAGTTCTGGTAATACACATTGGAGCCATGTATTTCAGAGGGTGGGTGTTAATATTTTCAGGCAGTAGGGAAGTGAAGCCATGTGTACTGATACTGCAGTCCTATTGTATAGCGAAACTAGAGAGAGCAAGATCTTAACTTTCTTTTGGGGGAAAGGAGATAAAAGATAACATACCTACTTCCTGTTGTCAAGTTTTTCTTCACTGAAATGAATGAAGTCAACTGTATAGTATTGGCTAGATTAGACTTGGCCATTAAAATTTTCCCTATAAGTTCACAGTAAGGTATGAAAGTATAGGGGAAAAGGTAAGAAAAGTTGTTGAGAAGTGATAGCATAAGGAGACTTTGGCCAGTATCCAGTTTGTTGCCACATAATGTAAAGTTATGCAGGTATAGCTTTGCTGTGCATTATACCCAGGGAATGCAGATATGCAGTCAGTCACATAGTTCCTTGTAATGAGGGTGAAAGACGAGAGTGCGAAAAATGGTCTGAAACTCAACATCAAAAAAACTAAGATCATGGCCACTGGTCCCATGACCTCCTGGGAAATAGAAGGGGAAGATATGGAGGCAGTGTCAAATTTTATCTTCCTGGGCTCCATGATTACTTCAGATGGAGACAGCAGCCCTGAAATTAAAAGGCACCTTCTTCTTGGGAGGAAAGCGATGACAAATCTTGACAGCATCTTGAAAAGCAGAGACATCACCTTGCCAACAAAAGTCCGAATAGTCAAAGCTATGGTTTTTCCTGTCGTGATGTATGGAAGTGAGAGCGGGACCATAAAGAAAGCTGACCGCCGAAGAATTGATGCCTTGGAATTGTGGTGCTGGAGGAGACTCTTGAGAGTTCCCTGGACTGCAAAGAGAACAAACCTATCAATTCTAAAGGAAATCAACCCCGAGTGCTGATTGGAAGGACAGATCCTGAAGCTGAGGCTCCAGTACTTTGGCCATCTCATGAGAAGAGAAGACTCCTTGGAAAAGACTTTGATGTTGGGAAAGTGTGAAGGCAAGAGGAGAAGGGGACGACCGAGGATGAGATGGTTGGACAGTGTCATCGAAGCAACCAACATGAATTTGACACAACTCCGGGAGGCGGTGGAAGATAGGAGGGCCTGGCGTGCTCTGGTCCATGGGGTCACGAAGAGTCGGACACGACTAAACGACTGAACAAACATAGTTCCCATAGCATCTGATTATGCAATGTGCTGGCATAGGTATTTCATTATCGTATTTCTCCTTGGCACTATTTTAGCTATGGTGGGTGAACTTGGTGTTATACCAAACTATGCAATAGGATTTCGCCTTTGGGTTGTGTCTGAATGAACAAGTAATGCTGGCAAAATATTGTCTCCTCTTGCAGCTTCTCTCCAGTTCCAGAATGCTAGGGAGGTCTTCTGGAACGGATTGGGTGGGGGAGATGAAATTGCATGTTTGCACATGATGTTGGATGCAGTCATTTAATTAGAATCAACCAGTTAAACTAGCCTGGATCCTCTAATCTTCCAGATTATTAGACTGATTCTCATTGCTGAAGTTAGCATGCATAGTCATACAGGATAATGGAAGTTGTAGTCCAACAAGGATCATGAATTCCCTCCTGCAATTTTAGAATTTAAACCAGTGGTGGGGACCTGTTGCTCTCTATATGTTGAATTGCATCTCAGTTTCCCTAGTTAGGGTGACAAGTATTGAGGATAAATGGAGCTCTAGGGATCAACTGTATCTGGAGAAACAGGTTCATCACCCTAGATTTAAACCTAGGGCAGGCAAAATGCCTACTGGGCTGCAGCTAGCACACTCCTCACCAGTGGCTATGCTAGCTATGGCTGATGGGATTTGCATTCCACCCATCCTAATTTAAAGTTGTATTCAGGTGAGATTTGATTAAGAACTTCCTGCCAGAAACCTTTGCCCTTTATGGTTTTTGAAGAAGTATTACAGAGAAATAGGATTGCCTATTACTATAAGTTGTAACTCACATAAATTTAAATTTGTTAGATATGAAGCAGGCATAGGAGAGAACTGTGAAGAATCTTTCGTACTGCAACCAGGTGAAAAGCTTCTACAGCCTATGAGTTTTAATTCTGAATATATTTATTGTATTCGCGAAGGCTTTCACAGCCGGGATATAATGGTTGTTGTGGGTTTTTCGGGCTCTTTGGCCTTGTTCTGAAGAACATGGCCAAAGAGCCCAAAAAACCCACAGCAACCGTTATATTTATTATTTATGTCCCATTCTTGACTGTCATACAGTATTTTCAATGCTTAATGCAATTTTCCACAGAACACACCAGATGGCAGCAAAATAAAACATCTTGAATTATTTTTTTTTCCTTTTTTCAGTTCACAGATTTGAAGATCTCTCCAGATCTGTACTGGAAAAACAGAACAGTTGTGGGGCGATTCTGTGTCTGAAAAAGACCAACTACTGTTCTGTTTGATACCTAAATTAAAATCACATTATTTCAAGGTCTTTGAACTGAATGGAAAGAAAGTGGTTTCATACATTACGTAAACGTTAAGCAACTGGCTAGCTACAGTCTTTATAAAATGCTTGCATTGAGTCTCCAGTGAGATTAAGCAAAGAAAGCAAGCAGAGTGGCATATCCTCCATTTGTTCTTTTTAAAAGACTAAGTAATTCCAGATGATTATATTAGATAATGTATGCTTTGGTGATAGTTTTGTTTCATTAAGCCTGAGTTGTAGTGGAACAATAAGAAGTGACCAGTTCAAAATGTGCATATGTCATTGATCTTCCTCTTGTGTATGTTAGTATCTGTGGCAGGATTGGGAATCATGTGGCCTTCTCATCTGCCCCTGCCAAGCTGCTCTGTGATGGATGAGAGGAATATTGCCCTGTTTATGGCTTCATAGGTTAAAACCAGTGAATTGTGCTAAAAAAGATTGGCAGCTGGTGGCTCTCCTGTAACAGAGGTGATGTGATCTCTCTAATGAGCCTCAGTTAACAATCTGGCTGCAGCATTTTGGGCCCACTGAAGCTTCTGAACACTATCCAAAGGCAACCCCATATAGAGCTCATTTCAGTAATCCAGCCAGGACGTAAAAGGTAAATCAGACCTTTTTAGGAACAGGTGCAACTGATGCATATGTTTTAATCCTGCACTCCTGGCCACTGCTGAAACCTGGACATGCAGGCTCAAAGAATCCAGGAGCACACCCAAGCTGCATACATGCTTTTTGAGGGAGAGTACTACCCTGTCCAGCACAAGCTGGATCTCTATTCCTCCTGCTGCCTTTTGACTGACTAGGAGCAGATCTGGCTTGTCTGGATTAAGTTTCAGTTTAATTCATCCTCATCCAGTCCACTACTGACACGAGATACTGATCTAGAGCTGATATAGTTTCCTCTGATTTAAATGGAAAAGAGGAATAGAGTTGGGTGTCCTCCGCATACTGGAAACACTAAGAGCCAAAACCCAGACAACCTTTTCCAGCGATTGCATTTAGATTTTGAACAGAGTAGAGGACAAAACAGAACCTTGAGTGACAGCACAGGCCAATGGCCAGAGTGTTAAACAGGAGTCCCCAACACCACCTTCTCAATTCCCCTCCAGGAAGGATCAGAGCCACTGTAAAACAGTTCCTCCCAAGTCCCATCCCAGAGAGAGACAGCCCAGAAGGATACCATGGTTGATGGTATCAAAAGCTGCTGAAAAGTTCAGTTGAACCAAAAAGGACGCATTTCCCCTGTGTACTTTCCGACATAGGCCATCCATCAAGGTGATCAAAGCAGTCTCTGCCCCATAACCAGACTTTTAAGTGAAGTAGTGAAACCTCCAGTGAAGGGGAAGTAGCCACAGAGATCTGGCTGTTTCTTCTTTGTGGGCTCTGTGAATGCACACTAATGGGTTTCATCTGTGTGTGCACAGAGGTCTCCGGAATATTCTAGAGCTTTATGCTACATTCGTCAAGGATTGCCCCCCTAGCCCACGAGGTCCACCTGCCCTCACAATCACCTGAGTTCCTTTTTGCTGCTCCTTTTTGTCCATTCTGCTTCTGAAAGGCATATAGAAATTGTTTCAATCTCTTTAAATACCTTCAAATCAGCCTCTTAGCCAACAAATTGTGAGAGATTCTTGATTATTTAAACAATTCCCCCCTTTCCCTTTCCCTTTCCCTTTCCCTGCCATTTATGACACCTCTCCACCCCTTCGAAAAATGCACGTTGTGCTCAAATAAAATTCCCCTCACAGACAGCCATAACATCTGTCTCTTCTGTCTGGGAGAAGCCCACCAAACATCTTGTCATTTCTGTAAAAAATTTACAAAGCAAGCTGTTAAATCGCATCAGCAACGACTCAGGTCTTTTCTCTGGGAAAAATCACTTCAACTCGCCCAGACCATGGAATCATCTCACAACTCGTAACCTCCGAGACAATCTCTGGCCCCATCTACTGTTTCTCCATCTGCAATATCGAGTTCTAAAACCTTTCAACAATTCAAAATCCAAGCAACCAACTTCAACCAAGTCGACTCTGGTACTGAAGTCTCCTTAGATATTAGAGCAATCCAAGTCAAAAAAGGGCAACAAATCTTCTACTGATCATAGGCATCCTTCAGTCTCGAGAGACTATGGTAACATGCTCTGAATCGAGGAGTGTCCTCTCCAGAGCATGAAGCCCGGGTAAGGTAATATGGAGGATAGGCTGTTACCCAAGCAGCAGATCCCCCCTCTCCACATTGCTGAAATGGTCCAATGGAAAGGCAAGAGCCAATACGACTGGTTCCAGCAACGTCGCAGGAGTTGGCAGAACGACACGAGCTGCCTTCGGGACTCCAGCTCTGGATTTTGCCTCGAGGTTAACTCCTGAAGCCTTTTCCATTGGTGGATATAGCCACAAGGCAGTGGAGGTTTGAAATCGGAGTTTTCCTTCTCCTAGATGGGCTGCCTTCCATGGCTGACGAGCCCCACCTACCCTACTGATACCCATCCATGTAAGCTGGTATCACAACGACCTCCACTTCAGGATCAACCCACCGTGAAGATTGATTCTCCAGATGACACCTTGTTGCATCCATCTGGCCAACCTTAGTCCCCCATTCTGGCTCAATCTCGGCATTCTCCAATTGATACTGCAGAAGTCACCATTATTCCAACGTCATTGCACTCTAGTCCTTTATCGACAGTGTGCTCCATCTCAGTCGCTGATTCTAACTATCAATATCAAACACCTGATGTTTCTCCTTACTTTAAGAGGTAGAGGAAAGAACATCATACATTGCAACTACACCATCCCGGTGCTGATACTGTGAGACCCACCACTCCAATTGGGTCCTTCACATCTCAAGAACGATCTGGAGGACACAGGCAATCTAAACGGGTCAGTCTCTATGAGCCTCCAGAGTACTATGACCCTGCCTATAGAAGCTCTTGATATTGAGCATATCGGTACTGTCCATCCGAGCTTGATTTCTACCCCGACTGTCGATACTGACGCCGATACTACTATGAATCGGACTACTCTGACTCATCTCCATCACCTAGATACCTCTCCCGGGACCAAGAAGCTTGCCAGGTCCCGATCATCATTGGAGGAGGGTTCGGTACCATTCGTCTCGATACTGAAGCATAGATCAAAGAGACAGCACCCGGATATACAGCACACACAATCCGTGGTACTGAAATTAGTCTGCATGTCAGCCTCAACAACCTTCAGTGCAAGCAACCACAACCTACAAAGGTCCTCCAACTCCACCTTCTGGTACTAAAAACACACAGAAGAAGACCTCCAAAGCACAAACCATCCTCAACACTTCCTCTCGATCTCACTGTCATCTCTCGGAGCCAACTTCTACTATCCCGCAGTTCTGTCCAGCCTCTGCAACACTTTCCTCTCATTCATTTTCTTCAGATTCTTCCCACTCTATACGGGACCAGGAATCACCACCTACTCTACCAACACCTGACTCTGATATCAACACTAATAATCCTCCTTCTCCAGCCGACTATTTTTCCTTGTATTCACAGTTGGTTTCACGAATTGCTAAAGCAATGGAACTTGATGTCCAACAACCATCCCAAGTTCAATCAGACAAAGCTTTTTAGGATATCAACGAACAACAGACACTGTCTTTAAGCATGAGCTTTATTCCTTCCCTGATAGAACTTACGAAACAAATGTGGTCTAAACCTTCCTCCATACCACAGATGTCTCATAAGGTCGAAAAACTTTATAAGATGCATGGAGACAACACGGCTTTTCTATTTAAGCATCCACCTCTGAATTCACTTATTGTTGATACAATTCAAAACAGAGCACATAACCGCTCTAGTACAACTCCAAATAATAAGGAAGGTAGAAAACTAGACATTGTGGGACGTTGTATCTACTCCCTCGCCTCATTCACTCTATGTGCTGCCAATTACATCGCAGCGATGGGAGCCTACCACTGTTATTTGTGGAACAAGGCCCTCCCATCATACCAATCTGCTGCAGGAGAATATAAAGCCCGTGGCCTCGCCTTCCATCAAGAGGCCATGGCTCTGGCACATCAAGAAAAATTATGGCTAGGCACATCATTGATGCCTCCTCACGCCACATGGCAACAGCAGTAGCCCTCATAGATATGCATGGCTGCAATCTGCTCATATCTCTGATGATGTCAGAATGAGAATAGAGGACTTACCTTTTGATGGGTCCAGCCTCTTTGATCAGAAGACAAATGAGATTTTGGAGAACCTGCAAAAATTTAAAAAGCTCAATCTTACAATACTCAACCATATTATAGACCGCATCGCCCCCAATGGCATCACCCTTACCAATATCAACAACCCAGGTCTTATTTTGACACAAACGAATACAGTGGGGTCTCAACTTACAAACTTAATCCGTATTGGAAGGCAGTTCTCAGGTCGAAACGTTCTTACAGTAAGTCGAATCTGCATTTCCCATAGGAATGTATTGAAAACCATTTAATCCGTATCTGCTCTTTTCGTCCATAGAAACTAATGGGAAGCTGCTATTCCGCCTTCTGCCACTAGAAGGGGATATTTTTTTCTTTTTTCCTTTTAACCTAAGATGACAGCTTTTAAAAAAAGGAAAAAAAAGAGTTCGTAACTCGAATCTAAGTTCGTAAGTCGAGTCCATATATTCCTATGAGAGCGGTTCGTAAGTCGAAACGTTCGTATGTCGAGCTGTTCGTAAGTCGAGACCCCACTGTACTCAACTCAATCAACTTCAGCATTCCAAACCGAGACATGCAGTCCAACGTCAATGTCCAAAGCAATCATTCCATCGCCTAGAGAAAAAGAAAAAGGGCGTTTTACTTCTTTGTTCCCCAGATCTACTCCACTCACCTCTTGACATCAGCCACTCATCTATCAGTTCATCTTCCAGTCTGGTCTTCTATTGCAATCGATTTTTGGGTACTCACCATCATTGCTATGGGTTATGTCATAGAGTTTGCTTACCTACCTCCATCAAGGATTGTTCTAACACCACCATCCGTTGTCCTCAAACAAGAAATTCAGTCTCTCCTCTCAAAAGATGCCATGTCACCCATTACAACCACAGAACACCATCCACGCTTCTTTTCCTGCTACTTCACAGTCCCGAAATGAGATGGTGTATTAAGACCTATTCTCGACCTTCGAGAACTCAAATACTACATCATTCAAAGACGATTCCGTATGGTCACACTAGAACGAATGCTACCCATCTTCCAACAGGGAGATTGGTTTGCTATCATAGATTTAAGTGACGCTTATTAACACATCACTATTTGACAAGACCTAGGGACGTGGTGACGCTGTGGGCTAAACCGCAGAAGCCTGTGCTGCAGGGTCAGAAGACCAAGCAGTCGTAAGATCAAATCCACGCGACGGAGTGAGTTCCCGTCGCTTGTCCCAGTTCCCACCAACCTAGTGGTTCGAAAGCATGCAAATGCAAGTAGATTAATAGGGACCACCTCGGTGGGGAGGTAACAGCGTTCCGTGTCTAAGTCGCACTGGCCATGTGACCACGGAAGATTGTCTTCGGACAAAATGCTGGCTCTGTGGCTTGGAAACGGGGATGAGCACCGCCCCCTAGAGTCGAATACAACTGGACAAAAATTGTCAAGGGGAACCTTTACCTTTACCTTTTTATTTGACAAGACCACAAATTCCTCAGGTTCGCAATAAGAGATCACGCCTACGAATTCAAAGCCTTCCCTTTTGGCCTTTCTACAGCACCAAGAGTATTTACAAAATGCATGGCACCCATAGCAGATCACCTATGTGCCCTGGGAATTTCTGTGTTTCCGTACATAGACGACTGGCTCGTGGTCTCCCCTTCTCACGCTCAAGCTGTGACAGATATCCAGACGGTTCTGTCTCTTCTTCTGGGTCTGAAAGTCAATATGGAAAAGTCAATTCTTACTCCTACCCAACACATCACTTACATAGGCGCTCTCCTCGATTTTTCGAAAGCAAGAGTGTTTCTTCCTCAAGAGAGGGCAGTGAAGCTTAACTTCCTCATCACTCTCTTTCGTCCTCACTCCCGTGTCACCGCACATTCTGTCCAACAACTTCTGGTTCTTATGGCCTCCACCACTTCAACCATTACTCACGCCAGGCTAAAAATGTGTTTGCTCCAATCTTCGTATCTTACCTTCTTCGACCCAATGACAGAATCACCATCAAAGCTTCTCAAGGTCATTCCCGAGCTCTCCGCTCAACTCCTGTGGTGGGTCAATCCATCCAACCTATTCATGGGACTTCCTTTTATTCCCCTTCAAATGTCACTAGAAATTACTACAGACACAAGCACTATAGGATGGGGCGCACATTGCAACAATCTCCATGTACACGCTACCTGGTCCCACAGAGAACGCGCCCTACACAAACAACCTCGAACTCCTCACCATTTTCAAAGTGTTCAGAGTTTCCAAACCAATCATCCTAGGCAACATCGTACAAGTAGCAATGGACACTACCACCACATTATTTTATATCAACAAGCAAGGAGGAACACACTCCTTTCCGCTTCTTGCGGTGCAGTTCTGGGATTGGTGTCTCGAACGCCGTATCTTTCCCATGGCAGTACACATCACCACACAAGACAACATGGTAGCAGACAAGCTCAGTTGACTGCATACCCAGATGTACGAGTGGTCTTTGGAACAAGCAGTGTTTCTTCAACTATGCAACATCTGGGGTCAACCACAGATCGATGCCTTTGCTACACCTCAAAACGCCAAATGCGGCCTATTCTTCTCAAGAGCTGGCATGGGACAGGGATCAATGGGAGACACATTCATGGCGAACTGGACTATGCATCTCATATATCTATTCCCTCCTATTCCTCTACTTCTAAGAACAATAGTCAAAATCAGGAATGATCATATAAATGCAGTCCTGATCACTCCTTGGTGGCCACGACAACCGTGGTTCACCATGCTACACTCCATCACCAGCAACTACATCCACCTACCCCTTATCCCACGCCTCCTCACGCAACACCAGAGTAGGACCCACCATCTGGATCTCCACACCCTCCATCTCATGGCATGGAGAATCCTGCCCGGTAGAAACTATCCTCACCCATGCCTGGAAACCTTCCTCAATCAAACTCTATTCTCATAAATGGTCGGCCTTCGTAAAATTTGCTCACCAACATAATCTTCCTACTAATCCTACAAATTTACCAACTGTCCTGCAGGTTCTCTCCTACCTGTCTGACAATCAGCTGTCTCTTTCGACCCTCAAAGTCTATCTATCAACAATTATTGCATATCAGCTTCAAGATTCAGATGCTGCCATGATTTTTAGACATCCCAGACTAAAATGATTTTAAGGGGTGTAGCACCTTCTCCCCAGCAGTGATCCTTATCCCTCATTTTCCACTGGCTTTCTCGTCCTCCCTTTGAACCACTTGCCACTGCTTCGGAATACCTTTTCTCTCAAGACACTCTTCCTTGTCACTATCATGTCTGTTCGCAGGGCTTCTGAACTTTCAGCATTGAGAGTTAATCCTCTGTTTCTCCAGTTTTATCCCAACAAGGTTACTCTCTTTCCGGATATCTCTTTACCAAAGGTGGTGATTCATTTCCACCTCTCCCATCCAATAATCCTACCTACCTTTTTCCCATCGTCTTCTAATGATTTGGAAAAAATCTTTACATACCTTGGACACGAGAAGCACTTTGACCTTTTATATATCAAGGACTTCTTCCTTTCAAAAACCGAAAAGACTATTTCTATCACCACCACCACCACCCCGATAGGGGCTCTCTGGTTTCTTCCCAAACAATTTTATTTATTTATTTATTTATTTATTTATTTATTTATTTATTTATATCCCACCTATCTGGTCAATTATGACCACTCTCGGCGGCTGGATTTCCCGCTGAATTGTTTCTACCATGAGACTGGCATATCAATTTGCCAAGTAGCCTCTTCCTGCTGGGGTTAAGGCTCACTCTGCTAGAGCAACAGCTGCTTCCACAGCATTCCTCCATGGAGTTCCACTCCCAGACATTTGCAAAGCTGCCAAATGGGGAACACCTTCCACGTTTGCCTCCCACTACAGACTTGACTTAAGAGCCAAAAAGGATGCTCATTA